ACAGGGACAAGAAAGAGCAGTAGCAGCAGAGCAATTTAAGATATGATCTAAAGCAGTGTTGTCCAAACTTGGCCACTTTAAGATGAGTGGACTTCAACTCCCATGCTGGCTGGAGAATTCTGGGAGTTGAAGTCCACTCATCTTAAAGTGGCCAAGTTTGAAAAACATTGGTTTAGATCATATCTTAAATTGCTCTGCTGCTACTGCTCTTTCTTGTCCCTGTCCTGCTGCCTTCTGTCACTTGTCCAAGGAGCCCTGCGTACCTCTCTTGGGTGGATCCACAAGCACCAGAAATAGAGATAAGCCTACTGGAGCATGAAGACAAATTTCATTTTCTTTCTGCAGGCTTCCTATTTTGACCGGGATGATGTTGCCCTTGCGCACGTCTCTAGCTTCTTTCGGTCTCAGTCACACGAGGAGCGGGAACATGCCGACAAACTGCTGAAATTCCAGAGCCAGCGTGGTGGCCGGGTCCTTCTGCAAGATATCAAGGTATAAGATGTATGGGCCAAACTTCTGCTTCTCTTAGAGAGAGAGAGAGAGAGAGAGAGATTGGGAAAACAGCCTCCCTCAACCTGGTGCCTTCCAGATGTATTGGGCCTAAAAATCCTATCACTCTGAAATACCGTGGGGAAAAATGGGGGCAAGTCTAGACTTAGAAGATTGCCCTAGAAATGACAACTCTATCCAGGTGCTGAGAGACTGGGGAAAAGCGGTTCAAAGAAACTCCACCTTAATTAACTCATCAGAAGTGAGGCTGAGAAATCCCTCTTACACTTTCCAAGCATCTGTATTTACCCCAGGTTAACATTAAAGATCCCTCTGTAAAGTTAGTGTCCTTTCCTTGGTCTTGCTGGCTAGTTGAAGGCTATAGTCCCTGTTTAGCATGGCTCTGCTGGGGTTGATGGAAGTTGTAGTCCCAGCAGATTTGGAAGACACCAAATTGGGGAAGGGTGTGTTATAGGATGCCTATAGCAAGACTGGTAGGCTGGGTTCATATATCATACTAAACCATAATGGCTGTATTCACATAATGCAGTCATCCATTATTAACTTAACTATGGTGTATTCAGTTAACCACTACTCATATCCACAATGTAAGGGACCTACAGGGGTTCTGCAAATCTATAAAAACATGGCTGTGCTCCCAAGCCAGGGGTTTGTTTTCATTTGAGCCCCTGGTGATTATTTTTTTTTCTTTTTTTGGTAAAGGAATGTGTTTACCCTGGTTGCACGTTTTCTTTTTTAATTTGCTCTCTTTCTTTTAATTATGTAATCTTTCCAGAGTCATTGGGAAGTCAAGCAGACTTCTAAATTTAATAAATCAACACATTTGACCATAAACTGGCTGTGCTGCTTGGGTTTGCACCAGATGCTACATTAATATGCATTTGGCTAGTCCTGCAAACTTAGCCACTGTTGGGGTTGGCTTAGTATTATGTGTGAATCCAGCCATTGCTGTTTATGAGCTAGGCAATTTTGGCATGTTAACTCTGGCCTAGCATGATAGGTGAATGGCAGCCCTTCGCCGCTCCCCTGCTAGCCTTGCCAAAGTTGTTATTCTGGGAACAAAGAGTACCCAGGCATGAAAGGATGGCTGCCAGAGCTAAGCGTGGTGCTTTCCCATGACAGAAGCCTGAGAAAGATTCCTGGGGGACCACTCTGAATGCCATGGAAGCAGCTCTCCAGCTGGAGAAGAATGTCAACCAGGCCCTTCTGGATCTGCACCGTTTGGCAAGTGACCAAGGAGACCCACATGTGAGTCTTGTGATTGTATGGTACGATTAGGATTCTGCCCCAAAGGTTTCCTATCTGGACTGATTGCTCATGTCACCAGTCTAAGAAAGAATTCTTTGCAAAAAAAAGTTGAACGAAATGCCCTCTTACTTCATGCAAGGAAAAAATGTGAGAGCCGCTGTAATGTTGTAGCTGTGGGATGGTAGTGCAGACAGAGTGTAAACTAGCAGAAAAGCTTTCTATCTGGTGATTTAAGGGCGATCCACAAAGAAGCTGCAGTGGCTTCAAAGCAGTAAATGTGAGACTTAGCTATGATCCAATTTGAGCCCTACGCTAGAACATCATGTACTTTTTAGGAGTAAATGGTCAAAGTTAATTAATTGATGTGTGGTTAGAGCAGTGTTTCTCAACCTTGGCAACTTATAGGCCGCACATCTTCAAGCCGCCAAGGTTGAGAAACACTGGGTTAGAGTGACGCTGACTTGGATTCTTACACTAGAGACAGAGACCTGCAAGCAGTACTGTATCTAACACCATCCTCTGTGACTCTTTCCAGCTGTGTGACTTCTTGGAATCGCATTACCTCGATGAGCAAGTCAAAGCCATCAAAACACTGGGCGACTACATTACCAATCTCCGGCGCTTGGGCACAACCCAGGGGGGTCTTGGAGAATATCTCTTTGACAAGCACACCCTAGGAGAGAGCAGCAGCTGATTTTACCTTCTCCCCAAATTCCTGGGAGTCACTTCCCCTGAACCCACAAAAACCAGCCCACTGCCATCAATTTTGCTGTGCCCGAGTCAAGGAGGGCTTGTACCTGCCACCTCTCAGTTGGCATGCTTCCAATAAACAAGGGTTCACCTGTTTTACATTTGTGTCTGTGTGTGCATACGTACGTAGAAACGCTTGTCATTTTCTGCGCGTGGAGTTTCATGAAGGTTGGCCTCCAGCAGTAATGAAGTTATAGTGCTTGAAACCTTAATGAGTTAATTAATTAATTGAGTTAAAATGCTTAGAATCTGCCTGTGCAAAAGGAAGGTTGGGATTTTTAGGTGGTAGGCATGTGCTGTTTCTGAGCTGTGTTATACTGAAACTTTCTCTTGCTGCCTATATAGCCTTAGGCTACAACGATTTCTTGTCTTGTACACAATGGGATGGGTTTATTTATATTCCCTAATTTATATTGCAGCTATTAGGTGGCAAATTATACCCATCCTATTTTCTGATTCTTTGGGCTAAACAGTAAATCCATCATTTCTGCCTTTGTACTGGATCTTATCATACTTAGGTGGGAGAAAGAATATGGTTGGCAAATTAAGGAGGCAATTCCTAACCCATAGTGTGCAAAGCAAATACTTGTCTGCTCCGTGCAATACCATCGTAAGTAGACATGCAGACTGACCAGAAATAGAGCTGGATCCCATGACCCAATATGCAGAAAAATTAAACAAGTTAAACAGGAGATGGGAGATACAAACTTTATGCCATCCATTGCTCAAGCCATTTTGTTCTTCTGTGACTGCCTCCCCCGCTCCTCCCCATTCCATTACAGAATATATATGTTGCTGGGACAACTTAGGTGTGCCTTTGCTGTAAGGACTTCAACTTAGAGGGACACATTTAATAACTGGCCTGAACCAAGGACTTCTTTATGTTCTTTGTAGAGCTCTAATGATGCTCTTGATTGCAGTTAAATTACTGAAATATTTTAATAACTGAAGGCAAAAAAGGAATGAACACCATCCGTGGGGCATGTTAAGATTTTATTATAAATGGTAGCAAGTGTCAAGGACCTGTGGTGTGACAACATATGTTTGGAAATTTGTCCTGGTAACTTAAGAGGGGAAAAGACTATGTAGCCCTGATGGAAGTTTATGAAATGCTGAACTGTATGGAGGAGGATACTTTTTCTTATTAGAATTTGGGTGTCATCCCTGAAACTGATTGGCAGTAGGTGTAGGATCAAAAATGTATCTTCAAACAATGCACGAGTAAGTTATCCAGCTATTACCTTTCACAGTTATAAAAGGCCTTAAACTAGATAAATTAATGAAGAATGAGCATACTATTACTTAATAGGCTGATTGCAACATCCACAGACAGAGGCAATGTAACTGAATACCACAGATTGAAGACAAATTGCAAGGGAGGCTATTTAATGCTTGAGTTGCAAGGAGTTTGGGTCCAGTCCTTTTATGAAGGCCCTCAAATGCTACCATTTTAGAAGACGAAGGAAGTAGAGTTAGCTAAAATTTGAGGGAGTGAGATGTGTTGCTTATTCATTAGGCCTACCCAGCCTTTCTACTCAAATGAAAACTCGATAGCTTTCATATACTGCTTTTGCGGTTTCAGATAAAGCTGCCTGCAGTCAGTGTGCTGGACTAGATATGTGGGGACCTCCAGTGAAGCACTGCGTCGTGGGTTGTTTCTCTTCATGTTGCTCTCCAACCAAAGAGAGGAGAAATATGATGTAGTTAGGATTGTCAGATCAGTTTTTAAAAAGTTTTAAATTATTTTTCTCATGGAAAAATGTGAAACCGCAAAAGGCATGAAAGAAATGACAGAGAAACTGCATGAACTTAATAAAAGTTACTGTATCAAATAATCTAGGCTATGTCAGTGCCAGACTTACAGCTTTCCACCTAACGTTCATCTCTCGTCTCTAGCCAGCATGGCCATAAGCCAAAAACAATGGATGCTGAACTCAACATCTGGAAGACCATAACCATAACAAAATTAATGGCTGAAGAAAATCAGGACAATGGCTATTGGATTGCTTGGGCCCCAAAACTGCCTGAAGATTCTGGGGGTTGATGGCAGACCTGGTTCTTAGTCATAAGGAGCAGGACTAGCCAAAAGCATTTCTCACCATGTGAAAGACCAGATGTGCTCACCCTACCCACTCCACATACAGAATCTGATAAGCTAATTGTTGGTCCATCATTGGTTGACTGGACAGTATTTGCTGCAGAACAGGCCTCATGATATGTGGGTGAGCATGTGCACATAGACACAAACACAAACCACTGTTCTTCAAGACGGGCAAACAGAAGGACGCCAGGAGGAATCAATGGCTCTTCCCACATATTTCAGTATCTGCCCCCAGCTCATTGGGCCTAAAGACACAGCCCACTATGCTGGATAGAGGGCTCCTACATTTCAGAAGTCTTGGAGGGTTAGTCACTGAACCTGTCCCAAGGACCTTATGAGGCCACCCACCAAAAAGACAGGTTTTGTCTTCACCCCACCAGGATCCTCAAAAAAGTGCATCTCCTGCAATTAAAAGCAAACAGGTAGGAGGTGATGTGGAAAAAAACCCCTGCTTGAAACCCTTGAAAGTAGCTACCATTCAAAGTAGGCAACACTGAATCTTAAGGGACAAAAATTGTGGAGTGAAGTGACTGGCAGCTATTCCCATATAGCAAAACACCCACCCATATCCTCAAGAACACATTTCTTCCCCTAAATGTTGCCTTTTAGACAAGCTGGGTTACAGACTTACGGCTTTCCACCTAACGTTCATCTCTCATCTCTAGCCAGCATGGCCATAAGCCAAAGCCTTCCCCTAAATGTTGCCTTTTAGACAAGTTGGGTTACAATTCATGGCAAATTCATAACAAATGCTAGCTGACAGGAGGTGTGTCAGTGATAAAATTCCTAGAATTACTATTCTTTGCACAATGTATCATGCTTTTCTCCTGTGGACTATCAGCTGAGAAACAAAACGTATATTATATTGTCACCTAAACCAGTTACAAGCTTTCCCTCCCATTTCTCTTCTCCTTCACCTAGTTTATATCCTTCCTTCTGCCTTGTAAAATAACATGTGAACCCAGAGCCACTGTTTTTATTTGCTTTCTCAAAGAAAGTCATGGGATTTAAGAAAAGGAAAAGGTCTCTGTCAATACTCCTTGGACAGTCTTTCCAGAGTCTGATACACAAACTTACTCAACTCTATTAAAAACTCCATTAAACTATACTCTTAAACTATACTCTTTGAGTGTTTGCAAATGTAACTACACAGATCATCAACTCACATGAATATAGTATTTTGTCTTATAAATTCACAGCATAAATACCTTTCCAATATACTATCAATTATTATGCATCTGGAACAGAACAGTCATAGAAGGTTGCATTGATAATTACTGGTCCTCATATTATTATCATTGCAGAATCAATGTATGTGGTGAATATTAACTGTTTAGGTATTTTTTATCACAGGTGACATTTTTCAAGTAATTCCATTAAATATGAATATGTTATATAAAAAGGGTTCTTTGGATATTGACAGATGGAAGCCTTTTAGCCTTATCCTTTGGGCTAGGTTAAACACTAAAAATAAATATAATTCCCAGAATATTTTATACAGTATTTTGCTGGAATTTCCATAGTGGAAAACACTTTCAAAAACCCAGTGCACTGTTCTGAAAATTTCTATAGGTTTTTCCAATTCCAAAGGCATCTTTGAAAAAGTTTTCTGTTAAAGAAGAGGGCCTTTCCTGAATTGTGAATTATACTATTATGCATATTTTTTTACTAGTACCAAATTCTGGACAGTTGCACTTAGCATAAATCCATCTTCCAAAGAACTTACATTTAAATTTTCAACATGAGAAATAAAATAGAGAAAAAGGAGGCAAATGTATGTAATATTAATGTTTTTATATTGCTTTGCTGAGAAGAAATCATACAAATGGTGTAGGACATTTTTTTAAATTTAAAACCATAAAGGCTAGCAAGGTCTGCGTGACCTTGTTTGGACTTATTGTATAAGCTAAGAAGGATTTGGTCCGGTGAGTACTTGAATGGGAGGTCCCTTCGGAATGCCTGTGATACATTTTAGACTGGGCGATTCAGAAGAAGCCAGAAAAACCACATATATGTGTCTATCAAGTCACCGGTCCAGTTACTTTTATTTTACTTCTGTTGGGCTAGGCTGGGAAATACAGCCATTCCTCAGTTATGATATTTGGTTACAGATGTACTAAAGAAAGGAAACATAGTACCCTTGTAAATTTGGTAACACTAACCTGTATAAGCACAGTGAAACTGGGCATCTTATCTGGTAGGGTTAAATTGTACCTGGAAATTATTCATGGAATTTGTGAATAAAATTACCGATAGGCAATAATTGTTGGGTTTACAAAACCTCGACAAATGGAGGGTCGGGGAGACAGATTTCTTATTTATGTTCTATTTTAACTATTTTAACCCTCCACCTGTCAGGTTCAGCCCAAAGAACTCCACGAGACAATGCAAAAACAGTTCTGTTGCGTTTATTAGCTTCCACCTCAAGACGGAATCTCACCAGACTGAACCCAAGTTCCCAAACCAGTCAGCCACAACACCGTGAATTCCTTAGGGAGGCGCCAACCTCATCTTCTTGAACTTCCCACACTCCTGTTGGGGGCTAAGAACATGCTTATCTCCCTGAGCACGGCCTTCATAAGTCCATTCCATCACACCACCCAGCTCCACAGAACTAAAATTCCTCATTCCTACACCATAAAATCCTTGACTGAAAATTTTCTTCACCCAAGAAGCTGAAACCTTATGAAAAAGGGCTCTTAGTTTCCATCATATTTACTTCTCTACATTTGAAAACCAAAGGGATAACACAGACACGGACATTGAGAAATCTTCACACATTTCTCAGAGACATTATCTTTACTTCTTTACACAGACACAGACA